CCTTCGCCTGTTTCTGACCTCTAATAGTCAAGTCCTTTCCCATTTTRTATGTCCTCCSTTTTATAAKWCATCCCTAAAACCCTTAACCCTAAGCCCTCAACCTGTGAACCCATATTACAGCAGCCCTTTGGAACYGCCCTTTCCCCTTGTTTTGGTCTTATGGTACCGTCCGTCCAACTTTGTGCTGTCAATCCATAGCTGTAGCAGTTTTGGCTTGAGTTCCCGTGGAAATCTGATCTGTCTGTGAAAAGTGATTGATGCACCCGCCTTTAACCTCTGTTGGGAGCTCCTTTCTAGCACTGAGTTGTGGCTCCCTTTCCAGTAGATACAGTCCATTTATCTCTTGGCAGTCTTGCYGTATACACCACCAAGTCTTGTACAGCCTCAATCTCCCGTTCTTTCGCTGATCCTTGTCTTCTGCCGAGGCTTGCTTGACACCATTTCCTCTTCAAGATTCTGGTCCGGAGGTGCCTTGCCCTTGCGCAGTTAGTCCCTGCCCAATACTTCTTCCCGRGTTGGAGTTGTGCCAGTTCTTCCAGTAGATGTGGTCGTCTCGTAGATCAGCAACTTTCCCTCCTATCAACCATATCCTGMTGAACTTYCGTCTCGCYTTCTTTCGCTGTTCCTCATCCTCTGACCATGATAATTTAATTTTCCGCCAACGGCATAGGATTTCCGCCTGTATCATTGCTTTCGTCTCCAGCCAAACCATCTCTCSTGAGTTGGACACTCCTTCGATTGTTCTGCTGCATCTTTCCTTCCRTATGATCCATAGTGTCACCTTCCTGATGAGTCCATACCAGTTCTTTTCCGCTTTCCGGAGTTGTTCGGGGATGTTAGTCAAAAGGAGAAGTTGGATCGGTTGTTCAGGGAAAGGAGTCGGGAAAAGAGAGTCCCATAGGGTCGAGGCTCTTGCCCAGAATTCTGTCGCTTCCCTACAGTGTATTAAGCAATGTACTATATCCTCTACCGCCCCTTCCATACATACTTTGCATTGATCGGAACTGTCTGGGTTTGAACCCTTGCGCCTCACGTGTAACCACTGATTAACTGGTAATGCCGCATATATAATCAGCCATTGGAGGCTTCTGATTTTGATTGGTCTGATTGTTTTATAAATCTTCCACGGAATCTGTGTGATCTTGTCTGCTTCCTGTCCTATTAGCTTTTGCCACCTGGTCTTAATCACCGGTTCTGGGTCTTTTGTTTTTAGCAGTAGTTCATACCCAAATTTGACCGTGTAATCCTGAATGGGGATGAGTCTCTTTATGTTTGCCCTCCTTTCGGGTTCCATGCCCACTCCATCGGGTCGAACTCCAGGTTGTGTACAGCCGTGTCGGTTCTGAAGATAAACTTCGGCCATGTGCCTAAGACCCGTACTTTTCTGAGCAGGAAGTAATCCATGCCTGTCGTTTACACGCCGATGTTCTTGATCGTTGTCATCCCCTTCGTGGAATGGTCAATTGGGAAGGAGGTGAAAACCGCTTGAGTGACTGAACCAGGGTGTAGGTGTGAGAATTGGAAGGCCATAGAGGGGGAAGTTTCCTGCACTTTGATCCCCCATTCACCACTTTTCCGTGGCTCCCCTTGTTTTAGCATATCTTTCCAATCTTGAGGAACGAGATTAATAATGTATTGCAGGTTGGGTCCTCTTCTATGGCATCCCTTCAAACATTCACTTAGCTCTTGTTCAGAGACCCATTCTTTCTTTTCTTCGTTCCACAAGTGACTGATTGTCCAGACTCCGTTCTTTACCCATGATTGCCATTTGTGGTCCAGGAACAGGGGTTCATCACTTTCGCCCTTCAACCATTCATTGCCAAAGAGAGGCTGTCTCAACACCTCGTCCTTAGATTTTGGTTTGTTGGTCTTTTTTGGCATTATTTCCCTCCAAATCCGGATTAGAGATGCCCAGTACGATGTTTGGCGGTTGTCTATATTCCTTTCTGCCTCCCTCCTGGGTCTTCGTCTCGCCCTTTTCAAGGACCATTCCTTGTTCATTACCCAGAATAGCCCTGTCATGTTATTTGGTGATGCCACCGGAGCTAAGGCCCTTATGCTATCCAAGGCCAGTTTATTCCATGCCGTTTCTGGTTTAGTCAACAATCGGCCTATCCATTTAACTTGAAGCGCTCTCGTTTCACACCTCGGTTCGATGATTCCTAGGCCCCCTTGTGTCGGTTTTCTTGTGATATAATGCCATGCTATCTTTGGGATACAACCTTCCTTGTTGGGGTTGCCCGTCCATAAATACGTCCTGGCGACTCGATTAAGTTCCTTTAGTGAGTCATTCGGGATTGTCCAGACCGACGCAATGTACCACGATAGAAGTGTTCAGTACCAATGCACGACCAATCAGTGAGGTGAATGTGTTTCCCCATCTTCCCAGTTTGCTTAACTATTTAGCTAACATGTTCTGGGCCATCTGAGGTACCAGGCCCTCCCGTGACATGAGGATGCCTAGGTATCGGGTGGGTGTTTCTGGTGTGTCCCAGGACATGGCAGCCTACGGTCCTTGCAGGTTGGGAATTTGTTCATCTGATAGCCACCAGCCTATGGTCTTCTTCCAATTGATCTTCATTTCTGATGCCAGTCTGAATGCTTCCATTGCCCTGGACAGTGCTTTACAAGACGAATCCGAAGCTCTAAGCAGTATTGTCATGTCATCTGCAAACAAAATAACTGTCGGGAACTTGAGATGATGGGACGTCCCTACATTGACCTCTGGGAGTCTATGTATGGAGGGGTCTTTCCTTAGGAAGGAAGCAATGGCCTCCATCACAAATAGGAAGATCGAAGGGGCTAGTGGGTCCCCTTGCCTGACTGATCGAGATATTGGGTAACTGTCAAACAGAAACCCGTTAATCTGCACGCAGCCTGAGGCATTATTATACAATACTTGGATCCATTTCCTAAAAATTGGTCCCACCCTCATACGTTCCATACTTGCATCCATAAAAGACCAGTTGACTTGATCATAGGCTTTTTCGAAGTCGAAGAAGAGTATGGCTGTGTTTATCCTCCTTTCTCTGACTTTGTTTGCAGCTTCGTTTAGAGTTAGCACATTATCCAGAATGTAACGTCCAGGGATGAAGCCCGTCTGATCAATGTGAAAGCATTTATCAGTTATTTTCGTGATTCTGGCAGCCAGGGTCTTGACCAGGATTTTGTATAGGAGAGTTAGTAAGGAGATAGGTCTATAATTCCTGATGTCTTCCTTGTCCCCCTTCTTGTACAGTAGTGTTACAACGTTGCTACTCAGCAAACTGCCTAAACCCCCTTTCTCATAGCTATCTCTGTAGAAGTTCAACAGGTTCCCCCCGAGGTTTGGCCAGAATTTTCCCCAGAATTCTTGTCAGCCCATCAATACCTGGTGCTTTGTCATTGTTCATGCTCTTGAGATCTTGGTTTAGCTCCTCCAATGATAAGGGCTTGTCCAACTCTTCTGATTGTTCTGGCGATATCGTTTGTTCCAAATATTGTAACATTCTCTGTCTCGCTTCCAATGTGTTGCTTGGCGTGGGTGTTTGGGTTTTAGTCTGATACAAGTCTTGGTAAAATTCTTTGGCTATTCCCAAAATCCCTTCGCTGGTTTCCTCTGACACCTCCGGGTTGCTAAGGCTTTTCAATTTTTCTATTGCGGCCGCTCTTGTATTTGCTTTAATTTGGGCAAAGAAGTGTTTCGACATTGATTCGTTGAGATCATATTCACACATCCTGGCTCTTATCTGCATGCCTTTTAACTCCCACCACCTCCACATCGCTAGCTCTTCCCGTGGTTTCTCAAATATGCCCTCATATAGTGCTGAGGACGGGTTATCCCTCAGGTTGTATTCTGCTATCTTCAGGGCCTTTTCCAGGCTTTGTTTTCTCTGCTTCCTTATAGAGGCGAGTTTTGTTGACATGCCGGCTGCTGCCTCCGCTAGTAGCGAGTAACTCTCTACAAACCATTCCCACCGGTCATGAGTGGGAAGGTGGCTCATACCCCTCTCTTTCCAATATTCCTGTATCCCTTCTTGAAAGGTTTGACTCAGCAGGAGTGAGTTGTTCAGTTTCTGAAAGCTGGCCCCTTTCCTCACTTGTTGCTCAAAGCATAGCGTGAGCTCAATGGGTTTGTGATCCAGTCCTGGGTAAGGTGCTAAAGGTAGGATCTCCGCCTCTTTCACCGCTCCCATCATTGTGCCTGAAATCAGGAAATAGTCTATTCGTGAGAAGGCTGTGTGTTGCGCATGGCTTTTCTTGATCAGTGAGAATGCTCTCGACGCCGGGTGGAAGATTCTGAAGGGGTCTATTAGGTCGTGATCTACCATCAGTCTCTGGACCGGTACTGCCTCTTGAGAGTTGTAAGTGTTGGAGGATCTGGATATGCAGTTTGTTGCTGGATCTAAGGTTACATTTCAGTCCGTGTTTTGGCAGACCCTTAAACTTTCTTTCTTTATTTCTTTCTTTCTTTCTTTCGTTTGTTCGTTCATTCGCTCGTTCATTCGTTCAGTCGTTCATTCGTTCGTTCGCTCGTCTGTTCGTTTGTTCATTCGCTCGTTTGTTCGTTTGTGCATTCATTTGTTCGTGCACGCGTGTGTCCGTGCGTGCTTGCGTGCGTGCGCCCGTTTGTTCATTAGTTTGTTCCTTCGTTCGTAGAGAGGGCAGGCCTTTGTGAAGAAAACTGTGGCTGTTGGATTCTCAATCCAATTAGACCAGAGGTACAGCCCTCACTTTCGGATGATATTGTAAGTATTTAGAATCATGCGAAAGCCCACTTTCTTTTCTGTCCACCTCTATGCTTTCCTCAAGTGAGTGGCTGAAGTCAAACTAGCCCTAGCAGTACTTGCTTAATTATGTGCTTCATTTTAAAGGAGTGGTTTGACTGATGTGCTTTGCTACCGAGCTTCTGTGCCATTAGCTGATGATATAAGCTGAGCATCCATGAGACTTGCCATTCACGAATCCGGATTCTGTACCATAGTAACGATACTCATTGTCTCCTCCTGCATTTCGAACAGGCGAGAAGAAGCTAAAGAGGTTTATCAAACACTCGTATCTCATCCTACGGCCACGGTTCGGCGGAAAGCTTCACAGATGTTGTTTGGATTCCAGGTACTCTGCGACTCTCAAAGAGAGACTTTCTATGTTCTGTGTCCCCTGTTATCATCTGATATCGCGTCATGAACTGTCTTGGGCCGTCTTCTCCTAGTTATGTTCTGCCTTCTGCGTCTTGCGTCATCCTGCCCTCTTCTTAATCCTTTGTCTGTTGCATGGTGTTTCTTGACCTCCCCCCCTTTTTTTTTTTTGAAAACACAATGCCCCATCTATTCTGGGGGGCGGCAATCTGGTTGCTTATCACCGGCAAGCATAGAGCAATAGTTGAGATAGAAGGAAAGCGACAAGCACGACCCCACGCCCCTGTCGCCCTAGACGCTGTGCAGGGGGGGGTGCGGCATCAGTTGGCTGGCGCATGCCTGCATTATCCCATTCTTGACCTCCCCTTCAAAAATGTCCGAATGCAACTCTGGCACTGGTAAGGGCAGACTCTCAGCGCTACAGGATCTTTAATTTTCCTACTCGAAAAGGAGAAGAACACCTTATTTGCGCTCCGTGCGATGCTGAGGAAAATCCCGCCGACGAGTTGGTGCATGCCATTGCCGAGGCAGATGCTTTTTGGGGGTTTTCTTTGTCTTGGGGTCTTTGTTTGGTGGTTGGCGTACTTCCCTATTGCCCAATCAGAGAACATCAGGGCATAGTGTAGTACTGCGCATGTGAGCATATTTGATGTTGCTCAGTTGGTGCCATTTGTTGTGGTTCGAAACTTGTGCATCTCAATGGTAATTCTAATGATCCTATGTTTGTAAATAGGGCTTTGTGGATGCGCTTACTATTTTCATCTTCAAATACTCTCCAAAATGAATGTAAATCCTGTGAGGAGTCGCTGACAAGGGGGATGAGTTTCCCCACAAATGGGGTTGCAAGTCACAAGTTGCATTTACCTATTGGTCTGAGGCTTCCAAGTGGTATTTTTCTGTCACATGTTCCTAATTCCTCATGTTGAGGGTAGTTATGTTAAAAAAAGAAAAAAAAGAGGGTAGTTATGAAGATGAGGTCGATGTAGGGATGGTAGTGGCTATGAAGGTGATAGAGGTACGGAATCGCTAGGTTGACTGGGGCCCATGCAAGACAGGTAGGAGTGCATGCTCTTATCATCACTTCTATCTGTTGGTGCAGGGTTCAAAAAGCAAACAAACAAACAAACAAAAAAAGGTTGACAGGCGGCTTGAGGAACTGCCACAGATGTCCCCCTCGCTCGTGGCTGGCCTCGCCGGGTTTTGACCTGTTGCGTGACTGGGTGCTGCTACCGTCTTCACCCGAATATAACGCTCGGTCATTATAGCTGTATTTGGGCCATTTTTCAGTCCAGATGCAGCGATAATGACTGGGCGTTCTATTCGGATGAGAAGACTGTAGTAAGCCTCCTGGGCTGCAGGCCAACCCCCCTACTCTATGAAAGGCCAAGGCTTGGGGAGTAGGACGTTCTGTAGTAGTCCCCCCCTTGATAGGCGTTCAGTACCACAAGGGTTGGGCCGTTGCTTTTCGTTTGGCCGTTCTCCCCTCCCCCTTCCTTTGATGGATGTAAAAAACTTGCTTGCGGGTGATGAGCAACCGGACTGACGCCCCCCAAAATAGAAGGGGCTTTGTTGTTAAAAAAAAAAAAAATGCAAGGAAAATGAGCAATAGCGAGATGACAATATTCAGATTGCACAATCACATTGAAAGCCAGATCGTATCACAGTGTTCAGAAAGCAGCATTACACACAAATATGACACCAATGGAGAATCGTAGCACTGAAAATCAATGTCAATGAGAGCTTGTCCTCACCACCACCAACATATGTATCCAGTCCCTATCTCCCTACTTGGCGCTCAGCGCCCAGCCTACTCCCTACACAGCTACTACTAGCCTACTAATTGACAATGCAACTGTTGACGTCAGCAGCCTCCGAAGTACTTGAAGATGCCGCCCATGCAGACCATCGCCAATACCAGGTATGTGCCCTCACATCATCATCATCATCCTTCTCTCTCTCTCCCTCGTCTTACTCCCCACGTCTTCCCTTTGTACAAGTTCGGATGACTTTACCCAGACTCTATCACCTACCTGAAAGTTAGAGGGCCGTCTATGTTTATTCTCAGATGCAATCATAGCGTCCTGAGACTTTCTAATATGTTCGACGGTCTGCTGCAGCATTTGTTCATAATTGATAGCAAACTCTATGCTGCCAGGTGCTGCAGTGGGTTGCCTTTTTGGTAGCAAAAAGTCAAGTGCAGTTTTGGGCTTCCAACCAAGGTGCAGCTGGTTGGGAGTCATACTAGTAGTACTATGCACAACATTGTTGTACAGGCTGGCGACGAGAGGTAACTTCTCGTCGCAGTCATCCTGACTTGGCTTAATATAATGCCGAAGCACGTGTTGTACTACCCGGTTCATCTGTTATGCCTGGCCTTTTAACTCGGGGTGATTCCTTGACGTCATTTGCAGCTTGGTATCCATCTGCTCAGTTGTCGCCCGCCACAGTTCGCTGGTAAACCATACATCCCTATCACTTACTATTGACGTAGGTAGCCCAAAATCCCTAACCCAGTTATCCAGAAACAGTTTGATGACATAGTCAGTTTTAGCAGTTTCTGGCATAGCGACAAGTCTTGCATACTTGGAAAAGCGGTCCACTATCACGAAGATGTGTCTTTTTCCAGACTTGCTGGCCACAAGAGTATCCATGAAGTCCATGGACACACTCTGATCAGGACCTTCAGGAATCGACAAGGGCTTAATGAGCCCGGGCGGAGCCTGAGTCCTAGGTTTGTCCCTTTGGCAAACGTGGCATGTTTCAACGTATTTTTTGCATCTTGCATCATAGAGGGCCACAAAAATTTTCGCACTAAGTTAGCTGAAGTCTTTTTATAACCAAAATGACCAGTTGCATCATGACACTCACCTAGAAATAAACTACGTAAAGACTCTCTATTAGGCACACACAGTCTTTTATTCCTTACCTTCTCAAGAAACAGCAAGCCATCTACCATCGTAAATTCATCCAAAGTTACTTTGTCCTTCGCTTGGAATTTACGGATGATCTCAGACATGATTGGATCTTTCTGATAGGCTTCCACCAACGATCGAGTTAGATCGTTAGATATGCCAAATTCAGTAACTAACGCGCCCAGATAATCTGCCGGACGAGATAGTGCATCAACCACGTTGTTGTACTCTCCTTTAATTGGATCAAGTTGATAGTCATACATATCTATCACTTGTATCCATCGCTTGAGTGCATCTGAGAGAACAGGCTGTGTCTTGATCCAGCGCAAGGTCTCATGGTCAGATCTCACGTAGAAGAATCTGCCTAGGAGATAATGTCTCCAATGGACCAGCGCTCTATATAGGGCATAGAGCTCAAGCTCATACGTGGACTTTGCTAGCTTTTGAGATGGCATTTTCTTACTCATATACTCGATCGGTCTCAACTTTGGCCCCTCCTTTTGCGCAAGGACTGCGCCTATACCATATTGGCTGGCGTCTGTAATCACGACAAAGGGTTTATAGGATCGGGAAGTTTGAGGACCTCATAGTGTGCCAGAGCATACTTCAGTTTCTTGAAGGCCGCCTCACACTCTTCAGTCCACTCCCAAGGGGTGTCAAGTCGAGTCAGATCTGTTAATGGGGAAGCTATAGTACTATAGTTCTTAACAAATGGACGATAGTAGCCCGTCATCCCCCAAAACGATCTGACCTCAGTAACAGTCTGAGGCTTGGACCAGTCACTTATGCTGGCCACCTTAGCATCGTCCGGCCTCAACCCATCCGCGGAGATTTCATGACCCAAGTACAAGATCTTGGTGCGACCGAACTCGCATTTTTCCAAGTTAATCTTGTACTGGTGTTGTCTTAGGAGACCTAACACTATTTTCAAGTGCTTAGTGTGCTCCTCTACAATCCTACTAAAGATAAGAATATCGTTGAGGTACACGACGATAAAATTGTCTAAGTACTCGTGAAATATCCTATTCATGGCGTGCTGGAATGTCCCAGGGGCATTGCATAGGCCAAAGGGCATCACCACAAACTCGTACAGACCGTACTTGGTCTGAAATGCGGTTTTGTGCTGGTCCTCAGGTCTAATGGCAAATTGATGGTATCCGGACGTTAAATCTATCTTAGTAAAGTACTGGCATCCTTGCACTCAATCCAGTAGGTCGTCGATGCGAGGTAGGGGCTCTGCATTTTTAACAGTGATGGCATTGAGGCCCCTGTAGTCAATGCACATCCTCAGTATACCTCCCTTTTTAGGAACAAATAGTACTGGCACACCATAAGGGGAGGTACTAGGCCGAATCCATCCCTTTTCTGTGAGCTCTTTGAGCTGGCGGCGGAGCTCATCCAACTCCGCAGGAGACATCCTATAGATGCGTCCTCTAGGTACTTTACTACCTGGGACAACCTCTATTGCATGGACCACCTCCCTTTCTACCACGCCTGTGGGCTCCTCAAAAAGGTCGGAATATTGTGCGACGACTGGTTCTATCTTTGGGGGTGTTTTAACGGCCTCCCCTTTTTCAGAGACAAAGACTAGATACATGCCCTCCTCGCGATTCTGCTTATAATAGTTCTAGAAAGAGGAGGCACACATGCAGCCGTAGTTTTCCACTAGACTGCTAGCTTTATACTTCTGCAGTCCAACGGTTCTACCATTTGGCAGCTTGTGTATCAACACCTTCCTATCCCAATCAAATTGAGGTTGAGCGACCTCGAGGTAGTACATGCCTAGTAGCATATCGAAGGGCAGTTCGTCGCTAACGAGGAATGAGATTTTATGTATCACTTCCCCTCCTCCATAAGAGAAGGTACAAACTACGTCCTTGACATAGTCTTTGACTAACATTTGGTGCTTGTTGGCTAGCGTAGAAGCTACAGTTCTGCTAAGCCGCTGCACTTGGTCCCCTAAGTGCAGTCTATCCACACAAGCACGATTGATGAAGTTTCTTGTAGAGCCTATGTCTGCGAAGGCGCCTACTTTGCGGCCACCTACATCAACCTCTACCACGAA